ACATAAGAGACGCCAATGTTGGATCAGGCCAAAGGCCCATCTAGTCCAACACTCTGTCACACAGTGGCCAAAAATACCAGGTGCCATCAGGAGGTCCACCAGTGGGGCCAGGACATTAGAAGCCATCCCACTGTTGGCCCCCCCAAGCACCAGTGTTGCCATGTTTGGCTCTTTACCGCGATGCTTGTGGCTCTTCAAAGCACCATCCCCCGATATGGCACCCTTATGAGGTGCCAACCTGAACATCTCCCTGAATCACAGCTAATCTCCAGATGACAGAGCTCGGTCCCCCTGGATAAAACAACTGCTTTGGAGGGTAGATAATATGGCATTGTACCCCACAGAGGCCCTGCCCCTCCCCAAACCCTGCCATCGCCGGGATGGTAAGCCTGCCGATGGCAAGGTACCCCCTGTTCTAGAAAAGTATACCCATAAATAACACTCACCAAGGGAAGACCATCCACAATTCACATCTATATATGCTCAGAACTGTATATCACATTCATTAAAGTACAAAGATGGGTTAGTGGTCAAAGCCCAATAGAATATCCAACAGATTGCTCATAATGATTAAGCATTATTTACAAAAAGAACGTGTTCAGAGCCAACAGTCGGCTCCTTTCTGTCGTTCCGTACATAAATAGTGTCCATAGACCTCCAAACTGAAAGTAGCTGTGGCAGAAGATGCCCACTGTGGAAAGAATAACAGCCGTACATCTCTCCCAGGTATAAATCAAGATGTTTCAACGATCTTCAGCAGCAGCTGGTAAAATGGAACCCAGTTTCCAAAGTAACATAGGTACAGCTCAAGAACTTCAGTGGAATTCTAGGCCATTCCAGAAAAGTGGGAAAGGCCAGTGCCCTGCAGGGCTTGCAGTGGGCAGGGGGGTCTGCACCCGCTGCCAGAGGGCATCTCACACGCCCCCTCCCCAGCCACCAATGCCCAGCCCACGGAGACTGCCAGGAGCAGGGCTTTTGGCCTAGCAATCCACAGGACGGGATCTGCAGTGGCTTCCGCAGCATTCACTTTCGTGACTGCGCACTTCCCATTCCCCACAATAATGAAACCAGCAATGTGGAAAATGTTATCCTTTGCATGCATCACACATTGCTTAACGTTTCTGAAATGTCATATCCTCTTTTCAGTTGGGTGTCAGTGGGAAACAGACCACGTTGCTTCTGTGTTGAATGTATAAAAGGCACAGCGATTCGCTCCCAAGGGGATACATGCCCGGAAGGCCTGGGTGAACACAGAGACTAAGGAGTCCTCTGCTTTGGGAGGGAGGGTTTGCTCCTCTTTTCGTAGCAGATTTACAGAGCACGTGACTGCTGGCCATTTGCAAAGGTAGGTCTTGTGTATATTTCTCGTTAACTTATTCCGAAAACCTCTAAAGAACGTTTATTTTATTTAAATATATTTTAAATACACAGAGGTACAAAGAGGAGTCAGGTTCACAGGCTTGTACATGCCATGGGCAATGGAATTTCAGATACGTAAATGCCTTACATTTCTTGTCCCTGCTGGGCAGATCTTTTTCAAGTAAGGCTGCCAACCTCCAGGTGGGGCCTGGGGAACTGCAGGAATGACAACTGATCTTTAGACTACAGAGATCAGTTCCCCTGGAGAAAATGGCACTTTTGGGGGGCAGACTCTATGGTATTATACACTACTGAGGTCCCTCCTTGCTCCAAACCCTGACCTCCCTAGGCTCCACCCCCCAAAATCTCCAGGAATTTCCCGATCCTACAAAGAGGGTTTTGTGCCTGGAAAGAGTACAACGTTGTGTGGAGGTTCCCCTCCCAAAATGGGCAAACCGTGTTCCCCCAGGAGGAATATCCTTGTGCGGAAGCAGCGTGTAATAACATCCAGTTGTAGTATGTTGTTCTGTTCCTAGAATAGTTGACATGGCACTCTTCTGGGCTGTAACCTCCAGTCCTCCTGAAAAGAAGTTGCGTATCATCCAGACTGACTTAGCCAATGCAAGAGGCAAAATCAGCAATTGCCCGTTCATGTGTGGTGTCTCCCACCTCATGGAACAGCCTTCCTTTAGGAGGTCAGGAAGTAGATAAGAACGTAAGAGAAGCCATGTTGGATCAGGCCAATGGCCCATCCAGTCCAACACTCTTCTGTGTCACACGGCGGCCAAAAACCAGATGCCATCAGGAGGTCAGTGGGGCTAGAACTCCATAATCCTTCCCACCGTGGCACCAAGAATACAGAGCATCACTTCCCCAGACATGGTGTTCCATACCTCCCTTGTGGCTAACAGCCACTGATGGACCTCTGCTCCATATGTTTATTCAATCCCGTCTTGAAGCTCTGCTTATAGCTGCCACCATTTCTTGTGGCAGTGAATTCCACGTGTTAATTACTCTTTGGTTGAAGTAGTACTTCCTTTTATCTTTTCTAAGCCTTCTGTTCATTAATTTAATTGAGTGCCCACAAGTTCTTGTATTGTGAGAAAGGGAGAAAAGTACTTCTCTATCTTCTCTATCCCATGCATAATTTTGTAAACCACTATCATCCAGTGTTCCCTCTAAGCTGAGTTAGTGTGAGCTAGCTCACCATTTTTTAGCATCCAGCTCACAGATTTTTGTCTTAGCTCAGGAAGGATGGGCTCCAGAGCAAAC